AAAAACTACTTCAATAGGTTAGATACTTCAGCAGTTAAGTAATATGTAATAAACTACTTACTATTTAAGTACTTACTCTGAACACAATTACTAATTTTTTTCTGCCAAAAATATTTATTGTACTTAATGATCAATGACTATCCAGTACTTTATACATTTGAGATTTTTATAATATAATTACTTATTATATGTAATAGAATAAAGCTATTCTTAAAATACACCAATCAAAAGATGCGACTATAAATATAACAAAAAAAAAAAAATAACTGAAAACCTTTGACATTTTTCACAGTGTTTAGTATTCACGGGATTTCCCTATTACGTCGATATCGGGAATATTGTTTCCCGAGATTATTCCGGTGAATTTCCCGGAGTGTAAACCCTAAAAATACATTGTAAATTGCATAAATAATCGTAGAAGTTACGTACTTATAGTTGTTTCAACTTTCAATAATAATAAAAAATAAAATAATGAACCTTGCTCACTTTTATAGACTTAAGTGAATAATGCATTTTTCTTCTAGCGTAAAATGTATTCAATTTGATCTATACTGTTATTGTGTTCCAACATATGAATCGTAATTTCACGTAAAATAATTTATCATAAGCTCATGTCCGTAGACGTTTGAAGGCTTCGAATATTTCGTTATTCATCGATCACCGGTGACGTGCCGTCGTCGTTATCGGAACACTATAAACCGTTTTTATATGTCCCAGGCGTCTCTCAGCTATATAGTGGTGTCATTATTACTGAGTTGTACACGTATTGCACAGCCGTTCAAAAATAATTGATGTTTCGCACGGTCGACTATATTCGAAATCCGTGACAAATTAACAAAGTATTGAACATTGTATGCTTAAGATCGCAAATAAATAATAATATAATATACACGTTGTTCAATAGCTAATATAGTTATATTATGTTTAATACAATTTTATATTTTATTTGAATTTAAATAATTTTTTTATATCAAGATTGACAGGTTTAATGATTTTAAAGTAATTTTAGCCAAGTATTATTAATACACCTTATATAGGCGTGTATTACGTATGTAGTCGTATTTTTTTTTGTCACTTAAATCACAGCCCTAACCTGAATGCAACTTATATTACGCCCGCTAATGACAATTGTTTTTCAAATAATAATTATTATAATGATGTTTCAAAAAATAAAAACTAACAGGATGTTTAGTTGATTAACACTGCCCCTACCCGATGCACGCTCCAGGTGCTTATCCAATTTCAAATAAATAGAAATCTTCAAAGAAAAATGAAGTTAAATCATATTGTTAAACAGTCTAAGCTATAAGATGTACTAAATTAGTAGAACATATAGTTTAACTTTTCCTGAAATTCAATTGTATCTAAAATGTAACAAGGAGTTTTTTAAAGGAAATTAATAATTATACTAAAATTTGTTTAAGACATCTGGTGAAGACCACAAGTATCTGTTTTCTGTTTTTCAAACTGTCCATGAGGAAAATAAGTCAGCTCTTATTTTAGATAGAGCAAGTTAGAGTTTAGCATTGAGATTAAGAGGGTGTAAGAGGGTAGTCTATAATATTTTCAAGTAGCTCTTTCTTGGAGCATAATAATAGAAGTAATTTATACAACTTTAAATGTTTGTATCTAACTATTTTTAAATATTAAACTTTTAAATAGTTTTATTTAAATCTTACACATAATAAAATTAAAAAAACTAGGTTAGTTCTAACTTCATATCTCATAATTAACTTCGACATGCTAATTAATAAAAACTTTTTAACAATTTGTTCAAGGATGTTTATAAATATTTTCGAAGTTAATATAATAATAATTCATTACTATTACAACTGTACTAAAACTTTATTTTTTTCTTTGTGAATACAATATAAAATATATCCATTTACCGTGAAAAAACTTCTTCAGGTTTAATATAAATGTACAATTCACGTTATATTTTAATTTGCTAAACAGAGTTTAATACACTTGGATAATACTATTTTTTTAGCCTTATGTTTTATAATAAGTTAAGGCTTAATTATAATTACTGGAACGTTAATACTTTTGTTAAAATAAATGTTAACTTATATTTAAAAATTAAAATAAATTCTTAATTGATTTAAGAATACATTATTGGTTTGCGGGTGTTTAAAGTGTATAATTATAAAATATATACAGAAATTACTTCACAAAGTCACAACCACGAAACAATATTATAATTCTGTGAAATTGAATGCACAGTATTATACGAGTTCTCTCGTTACAAAGGATATTATTATGATATTATATATGTTGTCTCTTTTTGTTTTTAAACGATTATAAACAATTACTATCTATTACATTCAAAATATCATTGTAATCTAAAATGTCAAAAGTATTTTGTTCTTTGCTATATAAATAAAACATCAACGATCAAAGTGTTATTGGGTTGGTAATCAATAAATAGAATATATAAATATTCAAAATTAACATTGAAGAAAATAGTGAAATGCATTGTAGAAGAGTACGTTATTCGTATACACAACAAATACAGGAATATTATGTTGAAATAGTTTTCCTGTTACATTAAATATTATTCAATTAAAGTTTCGAATTTTTCGACACACCAAAAATATAATAAAAAAATAAAATATATTGGCTGTCAAGATGTGAAACAAAGTAGGTATTCGCAAATAAGTATATTTTAAAGAATAAGAAAATAAACTATTCTAAATAAAGTAACAATCAATATTCAATAGTAAGAAGAAATATTAACAGTATTGCACCATTCGCTTTTTACACAGTAAATAAATATTTAAAGTAGTATTCGTAATTTATTTCTTAATATTAATATATTTTATTTTGTATTTTTTTATTAAATTTGTCTATTTTGGTTTCAAATAAAAACAAACATTTTACTATAATTTATTCAATAACAATTAATATTATAGCGTAACAAATAAAAATCTAGGATTATAAGCAATTCGTGTTCCTATTCAATTAAAACTGAAAGAAAATATTATACATTTTTAAAATATTTACTATTGAACATTTAGCACAATAAACGGGCAAAAAAAGTTTGAAAAAATATATTGTCATGTTAATTATACTGTAATATACTTCCTGAAAATAACGAATATCTACAATTTATTATAAGGATTTTGTTAATCAAGAAAAACAACGACCCAAGTTCTCTTTATTTAAACCGTGTATGTTGCAAAACTCATTATCTGTTTTCATTATACTATGGGAAACTATACAGTTAGAATTTCAGTACGACTGTCTACTACTACCTACCTATTTATAGTAGAACCAACCATAGTAACAAGGAAATCGATCTCATTTTGGTGCATGCAACTTTTTAATTACTCCTACCACTCTAAAAACTGTGTTCAGTGAACATTGTTCACGTATACGAAAGATAAGTGAAAAAATCCAACGATTTATTCAGAATCGAAATAAACAATGACACTGAGATTATTTAATAGCTTTGCATGGAACGATCGTTAAGATTTTAACATTGATCGAATTCAAGTATTTATTGATATTATCTTGCGAATGATTTCAGTTTGGTCGTTTTAATATTATATTGTAGGTACTAGCTGAATTATCGGGCTTCGCCCGTGTGTATTTTTATTTTTTTCATATTTGCAATATATCTCTATAACTTCTCGCAACAATTCTTATCTACATAAAGGATAAAAATGATAAGTTCCAGGTAACCCGCGGGCCACCATGAGCCCGTGCCGTGCAGCACAATGCGTATTGGCGATGAATAATTATAATTGTTAATTACTCCACAAAAACGCAACACTTTTGAAAATCCTTTCTCATTGCGCGGTTAAAATATGAGAAGAACCTCTATTCCAAATTTCAAGTTAGTACGTTGCGTAGTTTTTGAGTTACAGCGATCAGTGAGTAAGTGGTATTTGGATTTTATATGTTTGGATGAGTGAGAGTGAATGTCAAATGTCAAAATTAACCACATTACATGGGATATTCGTTGATTTTATTCGTTGTATAAGAGGTATAACACACAATAATAGTTATTAATTATGGGTGCTATATTATAAGGTACTATAATATTGTACTAGTTCATAAACAACTTCTTGACAACTTGCAAGACGTCAGGCGCCTTAATCGCCTGAAGGTGTATGACTTAGTTTAAGTGACTTCGGCTAAGAAATAAAGGAAAGGGACCACCTTATTGAAGAACAACCCCAAATATGTTGATGTATACATATAATATTATATATATTACTCATGTATTATGTTTGGATGAATGGCTTTGCTGCTGAACTGCAGGTCATATTTTATCGTTATAAATTGTGTTTGTAACGTTTATAATTAATATTATTTATTCACTCATATTATTTAGGCGACTATTGTATTTTTAAAGACTACTGTTCGTTGGAATAAAAATACTTTAGGGTTGTTAATAAAAACTTGTTTAAGTTTAACAACTGATGATTAAGTGATTAGTTATAATAATGTAGCATAAGGCAAATCAATTTTGGAACCACTAATTTATTGTGTACTACACAAATAAATAATCATGTCGTTTCTGCACGTTTGAGCCAGTTGGTCGAAGGGGTGGAGGATATTATAATAAAACTTTTCTTCTTAATTCGTGTGATGAAATGAATTCTTTGTAAGCTGTACAGCAAAAAAAAACAAAAAAATTATTTAAGTTATTTAATTTAAGAAACAGTGATGTATACAAGAAAATCGGTCATTATTGATTGGATGTAATAAGAACGTATCACTCCGGAGCGATATCAACCGAAATCCATTAATCTGGATCCGATATCGCACGATACCGTGTAATATATTGTGCGGAGTCCGTCGAACTCGACTCGGTTTCCTGTTTATAATAATAATATTTTAACTGCTGGCACACGAGTCTCGGATGTAAGCGCCACCGCCGCGGCAACAAGTGTGTGTGTGAAATTATATAGGACACTAACCGGCGACGGCAAACGACGGCAACGACGACGACTACGACGACGACGACGAGTGGTGTCTCAGTGGCGGTGGACCGTCAGCAGCAGCAGCAAACGTTGACGAGCGGTGTGTGTGCGCGTGTGTGTTGTACGGCAGCAGCAGCAGCAGCAGCAGCAGCAGCAACAGCAGTGCTCGGCGGGCGGCGGCCATCGAACGCGGTGTTTCCGATACCGGCCGACCGGAAGTAGACGTTAGCTCCGTATTCGGATCTGTTTCCGGGCAGCGCAAATACGATCGTAAATAATATAATTATACTATAATATAATTAAAGTCGATGGACCGAAAAAGTTCTGATCTCCGGTCCCGTTTAAATTAACTTACTTAATTCCGGCGTTGTCCATCAAATAATAATATTATATAGGTAATACTGGAGGTATATAGTTTTGAAATCTTTTCCTCGTCGCCGATTTCAGTGACCAGTGTGTTAGATCACATCACGAGCGTGTTCATCGTGGGACGGACGGAGATTAAAATAATAATTTTAAAGAAATAAAAATCTAGATTGAATTAAAACACGTTTTTTTTTTTTACAATATCGGTTTCTGCGTGGTTTCAGCACGTCACCGTGGTGGTAGGAGGGTGCGTGGAGGTGGAGGATTTATAATCCGAAAGGTAAGCATGTGCGTTATTGTAATAATATCATAATAATTGAAAAAATAATCGTTGTCGTTATCGGTTGACTGTTGTATCTATTATAAGCACCCACGCGTATTTATTTATACTTTTTACGACGACGATGACAATGTAGTATAATACAGCTATATAGCGTTGTATTATATATCATATTATTTCATTGTCAGTGGTATATATCTAAATCTTAGGCAGAAGGGTGAGAGGGAGGTGATTAAAACAGCCCCACAATGCTACACATTAATCAACTTATTAAATACTTTTATGAACAGTAATAATGATTTTTATTTTATTTAATACTAACCTAGCAGTTTTATCACTATGAATAAGAAATACATTTTTTTTTGTAAACTTGGACCTTAAGTTTAAGAGAGGTGATCAAGGAGCTAATGCTTCAATCGGGACTTGTGTGAGCCGCATTGTAATTACATGATTATAATTTTTTTTTTTTTTAAATACGCATAGAAATATTATTGCAATGCTTGGAGATTATATGAATATGCATGTGAATTGTAAATTAATAAACATTTATATACAAATTACAAGAGTGTTGTTATAAAAAATAAATCACATTGAAATTGTAATATAAAATCATAGACTATAATATATTATTATAATAGCCAACAGGTAATTTAACTATTGTGATTTTTAGATAAAATTGTATTATTATATGCAGTAAAGACAATATAAAATTTAGACAAATAAATTAAGACAGAGATAAAATATATTTCTATAAAAGGTTTAGAAAATTGAATTAACTTTTAACGACCTACTTAACGAAATTTTAATATTTATATTGGTTACAATATATTTAAGAATATTTTCTGAAAATATTTAAAAATGTAATATGTTCAAACTTAAAGTTTAAGTTAGAAACAGGTTAACGTTATCTGACCAAACCAAGACTATTAAAGTTATTTAATACTTTACTAATATTTAGGGGAGAGACCAAATACATTTTGAAATTGTGAACTAAGGAACACCTTATTGTACTTGTGAAAAAGCAAAATAATGCTGTTTTTTTTGGGGGGGGGGGGGGTAAAGTGAAATGTGCATCACATGGGCCGGGTCGGTTTGATTCATAATTCCTGGGCCGAAAAAAATCACTAATCCATCCCTGGGGTGATCCTCGCACTCGAATACACCCCTGCACCCCATGAATTCTTGGTTATTTAACCATATTTGAGTATTCATAGTAGCATGTTATAAATTGTGTTCGCTATTAATGTAAATGAGTTGTTTTAATAATTATGAATTATCCTCAGGAAATTTCTTTTTGCACTACCGATCATAGAAGTAGTTTTCTCGTCCCTTTTGCGGGTGATGTGGTTCCCGTTTATCCCTTATTGTATAACCACGTATATAATACTTTGAAATCTTCCCTCAGTTTAAAAAGCAAAAACTATAATAATATGGTGTAAACGAAGGTAGGTATTAGAAAACTTCATCACAGAACTGTGGTATCACGTTGTAGTCTTACTTTACGGAAGGATTATAAAACCGTTTAAGATTTTACATCCGTGGAGAAATTAGTTTTCAACATGATACAAAAACAAATCCAAAACAAAAAAAAACACATTTGCTTATATAAATATAATATGAAAAATAAATCCCACTAACTTTATCAAACTAATTCCAGGAAAATGAAACTATATTTACTTTTTAGTCACCTACGTAGGCACCTAATGCAGAGTTTTGTAATAATTATTACGGTAGGTACACACAAATCTCATATTGTTCCGAGATCACATTCAATATTCTTCAATGTATAATGTATGTGTGACTTACACTTGCTATATTATTTTGATTCACAAATAAATATTTAATTTATTTTGAATTGGATGTGAATGGATATATTTCAATTGATGGGTGGGTGGTCAGTTAATTGTCAAGAGACAATTAATTTGCTATATTCATATGTTCAAACAGAAAAGAACTTTGGCCATAGTCATAAAATATGTCTCTGAAAAACAAGTATAATATATTACGTCAATTAAGTCCTTGAACTTAGGAAACTAAAAATAAACATAGTTAGTAATATAATATAGGTAGGTACTCTGTTCAATATATTTAGACGATACTTGTGTTAAGGACATTTTAATTATAATTTATATGCTTTGTGTAATTATTATATAAACAGTATTCTCTATTAATTATTACTAGCGTATATCGAAAATAATAATTAAATGTCCGGTCCGGTTACTCAAATCTGGTATTCGAACCAATTTTCTCTCTTCGCTCGCACAATGACGTCACCGGATAGTTCTCAAAATAATTATAATTATTATACCTACATTTAAATACTATGATAATCATTCATCACATATTTCGAAATAAAATTAAAGTCTAGGTGAAACAGTTAAAGTTTAGTTTTCATGGAATAAATACACAAGAATAATCAAAACATGTGAGATTTTCGAAAGAAAAATAATTTTTTTAATACAATTTTAATACATTTTAGAAAAAAAATGTTAACTACTTAATAATTTTGGTTATTTTTACAAAATACGATTAGTTTTGTATTTTAGATTCTGAGCAGACGAGGAATGTATTGATTTTACACAGATGTGTATGTGTTATTTTTTGTGTCTGACACATTTAAGGTGCCTAGAAGAATGTTTCAATTTTCAATTTAAACATATTTTCTGGTAGAAAAGTGAATCTAGTTGGCTCTTTAGAGGGTCAAAAGTGAAAATATTCCAGGCATTTGCATAATGGATAATAATTGAGAAAAACAAAAAAAAAAATAGAGAAAAATAAGAATTTTAATGCAAAACTATTTTTTGACAAAATAGATTTTCATTTGTTGTAATTCAAAAACGAATAATTTTAGGTACTTAAAATGTTTATTACATTTTTACATCAACAATACAATATCTTACATGGTTTAAGTAATTAGATAATATGTCTAATCTTTTTGATCTATTTAAAGACATTTGAAATTTTATTTAAGTTATTTTCCCAAAAATTAGCTATTGATAAAAAAATTTTAGCTCGGTCGAGCGAAACCTTAAAAATATAATACAAGGTTAATCATATGTTATTATTTTAGGTATTTAAAAATAATTAAGATACTATGCACGATTTTTTTAATAAGAATTTTAAGTTTAAATGTTGACAACATTTGTCAAAATTGAAAATTATTTTGTTGTTGAAAATGTTCAATTTTTATAGCTTAGGCTTGAACATTTAGTACAACATTTTTCATAAGTAGGTAGGTAGTTGAAAACAAAAGATCTAAGACATATGTTATAAATACAATTTTGTATTTAACGTTTTAGGATTAAATTTGGACGAAATTAGATGTTTAAACATTTGCTTAATAACGATTTAATTATTTTTTTGTAACTCAAAAATATTATTCGTTTGGACTTGAAATTTTTACCTGTATTATTATAATTTATATGCAATGAAATTTTGAAATGCAACGTGTTTGGTAAAATTTAATTCAACCTACTGCCTAATATTTCTGATGGTAAAATAAATTACTTTAATATCAATATAAATATATCATAAAATATACCTAGTAATATAGCCTGACTGACTGCATAATATCTGCATATAATATTAATAAACTATTAAAGCAATTATGCACTTCATAAAATAAATAATATGAATAATGTAGGTAACTGCTTAATAAAATAAATATGTAATATGTGGTAAACTAGTAAGTTTCTACCATATTTATTGGTGGATTACAACAAATTAGCGAATATTTATGACGTTAAATAAATATATAGGTAACTTTCCAATACGCTTGAAGAAACTAATCCGATAGTCAAATGTTTACTTATCTTAAGTACCCACTAGATTAAATTTCCAATCGATAGATAAGGCCATATATAATTTTTTTTAAATTATTTAAACACTACTTTACTACATTATTGATTGTAAAATCCAACATTCTTCATTCGGTAGTTCGGTGCATTCAGAATCAAAACCGAATGTATTAGTATATCGTATAGGTACAACGTATAATAATCATTATGATAATTATTAAACTATCTTAAAAATATAACAATATTATAAATTTGTATAATATTCATTTTACAGTAAATACCTAATGTATGGTTTAAATATTTATAATGACTAACATTTTTTCTTATGGTCTTGAAATTGTTTATTTTACTATGTAGATATCTTAAGTTTTCACTACACTAGAACTTCAAAATTAAATACAAAACTAATTATCTAATATGATATATTCTAATACCATAAATCTGTTAAGCTAATTTGATTTAAATGTATTAAATAAGGTCGAAAGATTGTACCTACCTACCTACTTGGCTACTTAATATATTTTACAATATATTTATGTATAATATACGTTCACAGGTTTATACATTTTTAGGTAATACCTAAGCTTTTTCTAAGTAAAGTCAATATTCAAGTTTAATAAACCCAAGAAAAATATTTATTTTACATTTTATGACTGAATTTTTGTTTAAGTATATTATCTTTGTGTTTATTCCATGACATAAAACACAATATTATTAAAGTAAGGCTCACACTTGAGTTTAATTAAACTATTAAAACTATTAAAATAAGTAATATCTGTTATTTTATTATATAATATCGATAAAAAAAAAAATTAAAAATGTGTTTGCCTATAAAAGAGTAAATTTAAAGTTCTTTTTTCAATACAATAAAAAATATTCTAATTGGCATTTCTATAAAGTCTTTATTTTTATTTTTACTATAGCATGGAAATACCTTAATATTTGGTAAATCTCCAGTTAAGTTAGGTATACTTAGTACTTACTAGTAAATATTGACTAATGCAATAGATAATTTAACTGATCATTACTAAATCCTTATATAATAGATCTAACATTAGCTTTCATTAGGTAGGTAAACAAAATAAAGCCTCGTTTTTATAATTTTTCGCTAAAATATATAGTGAGAATAAAATTAAACAACAGTTTGGATTTGCAAAGAAATATACCAAAACTAAATGTGTTTAAATTACCAATGAAGAACAA